TAGGGTACTATTTTTCAAACTTTTTGGTCTCAGAACCTCTTACAATCTTAAAAATTATTGAGGACCCCAAACAGCTTTTGTTTATGTGGGTATATCTATTACTATATTAGAAATTAAAGCTAATAAAAAATTGAAATATATATTAATTGATTCAGAAATATGTTGACATACATAATATATTACATGTTAATGTACATATTAACATGAATAATATATTTTATTAAAAGTAACTATATTTTCCAAAAAAAATTTAGTGAGGAGATTGGAATTGTTTTGCACATTTTTGCAAATCTTTTTAATGTGTGGCTTAATAGAAGACAGGTAGATTCTCATATCTGCTTCTGCATTCGATCAATTGAGGTATGTTATTGTGGTCAAAGTATATGAAGAAAATCTGGCCTCATACTGATATCTAGTTGCAAAAGGGGAAAATATTTTAACAAGCAATACAATATTAGTATTATTATGAAAATAGTTTTGACCTTGCAGACTCCCTAAAAGGGTCAGTCTTGTTGATCCCCAGGAGTGCTCAGACCACACTTTGAGAACTGCTGTCCCTAGAACTTCATCTCCTTCTGCCCTCCATCAAGGGCCAGCTTTGGATTCAGGAAAAACTGAGTTTAAGTCATGCTATGATGAATGTTGACTGTGTGACCTGAGCAAGTCACTTTTCCTCTAAGTACCTAAGGAAACTCTCTAAGACTCAGAATTGCAGAAGAACAGTATCTTTGGGGTATGGCCAATATGGGGATTTATTTTACTTTTCTATACCTATTTGTTAGAAGAATTTGGGTTTTTTTTCCTTTTTCTTCCAGGATGAGAACTGTGGGAAGTGAGGTCCACTGGGTAGAGAAGGAGAAAAAAATAAATGCTTGAAAATAGAGTGGGGGAATAACATTTAATTTTAAAAAGGTAAATTAAAGGAAGGACAACCTGAAGCTTAGACTAAAATCATATTTCTGGGAAATGCAGAGAAACTATGAAATTCTAGCTGTTTTGAAGGAAGAGCAAATTCACTATTTCAAGAAGTTGGAAGAATGGCAAGATATCAACAGGGCTATTAGCAGCATCCTAATCCTGTTTATTTATCTGCTCAAGAAACATATTTGCATCAAATGTAAACACTTTCTTGGTCTCTTGTAACTGCTGCTGAAATGAAGGCAATAAAAGGATTCAAACAGTCTGCCTTCTCCCAGCTGACACAAAAATAAATCTTGTCAGAGACAAGTATTCCCTCACTTCTTGGGTCTTGCTCTGGCTACTAATGTAGGAGATCATTAAGGTCACCCTGGTGTAATAGTAGCAATATTAACTCTAAAAATACACTGTTTGTATCCAATTATAGGACACTACACAATGAGTATTGATAGCTCAGAAAGAGAGCCTTTCTAAATCCCAAGTCATTCACCGAAGACGAAGGTCATAGATGTTGAGCTAGAGGGGACCTCAGATGCTATTGAGTCCACCGCTCTTCGTAGATGAGGTATGTTAAGGGACTTGTCCAAGGGATAGTAAATGTCAAGTGGAATTTGAAGTATTCTTTTGACATCAGCACCCAGTCTATTTCTGTCACAATACAAATACAAAAATTTTTATATTCTATTTCCTCATGGAATTTCCCTTTCCTTGTCCAGCTTTTTCTATTCCAAATCCTTCTTCCTTCTTCCTTCTACATTAGAGGAAAGAGGGAAAGATTTCTTACCTCAAAGAAACTGGGAGCTACCATCATTATATGACCTTGAGCCCCTGCGAAGTGAGGAAAAGGGGAAGAAGAAAAGTCAATGGAGTCTATTCATGGATCCTGGTGGTCAGACTGTCCTCATATTCAAAGGGACAGAATGCCAATATGAGGTTAAATTCATAAAGTTTTATGGGACCAGAATCTCAGAGTTGGAAGGGACGTTAGAGGGACATATTCGGGAATCTTTTCTCCAATTCCCAGCCTTTATCTGAACCCACAACTTCCAGAAGCCACTCATTCCATTTTGGGATCTCTTTATTTCCTTACATAACATTTTCTTGAGGCCCTTCACCATCCAAGTTCCTTTCTCCAGCGTGTCAATATCCTTACTACACTATGACTCACAGAACAGAACACAGTACTCCAAATATGCTCGAAGTACAGGTGACTATTTTCTATCACCGTTGTTGTGCAAGGCACGTCTTGATGTTAGTGCCTTCTCTCTGTTGATTATCTCTAATTTGGTGTCCCAAAAATCTTAGTGAAATTTTAAACTATTAAAGCTTTAGAAGCATTAAGCTTGAATAGCTTCAAACTTCAGTAAGACTTTTGGGATGACATCTTGTATATCTTATTTATACACAAATGTTTACGTGTTGTTTTCCCATTGGACAGTAAGAACTTTGAGAGTAAGAACTGTCTTTTGCCTTTTTTGATATCCTCATCACGGTGACACAGTACTAGTACATAGCAATCATTTTATAAATGTTGCTTGTCTTTTGTTCTCAGAGGACCATGACATCAGGGAGGTGAGGCCATGATATGCAAGTGAATTGGATTTAAGTGAGGGAAGGCTGTGCCGAGTCACCAGCTTCACTTACTCCTTCAGAGCCATCTGGGATCAGTGGCCAGATATAGATCAGGACAACTAGAGATGGCCCAGGATGCTGTGGGAGACCTTGGCCTCAGGGTTTCTGGCCAAAACAGAAACAATTGTTATTTACATTCATTCTGAGCCAATCCAGACCAAAACAATAACCAAGTAGGATTTGGCCTGGGACCTATAAATGTTAATTGACTATCAAACACTCTAACCTTGACTGGGAGAAGTTGGAAGAGAGATGTGGTTCATACTACACTAAAAGGAGAGCATGGATTTTTACTATTTTGGAAAAAAATTATAAAATTATGAACATTTGACTTACAAACACCTGTCGCTGCTCCCTGACAAACATAACAGTTATGTAAATAACAGTTATCACCACAACCTTTGATTCTGCAGCTGACTGGGGAGCTGACCAAATGGAGAAGCTACCATCTTCTACAACCCCCACCTCTGATCAGGGTTCAGATGTATTTGGGGGAGGGGGAAAGGAATTCAAGATTCAGAAGAGCTTAGGATTTGGGGGCTTCAACTACTATTATATGTTATTATATTATAGATTAAATAGGTTTATAAGTTCTTAAGCTAACCCCAAAAGTCCATAATTATTTCTGTGAGAAAATTCACTACAAGTACCTGACAATCAATTGACAAATGAATTTTTGGAGTATTATCATTAATGAGCTGTGAATTTCCTATGCATACACTTTAGAATGTCCTCATAAAAGGTTTATTACAAGGATTAGGACAGTCCAAAATGTTAACGTCCTTAGAATTAAGTGCAAAGAGTAAGAGCCTATTGTAATATGAAGACCACATGATGCTTTATTTGATTCCTACTGGCTGATAATACATTCCTTCTTTACTCCCCCACCAAAAAACAAATTATCTTGAATCTACTGTGTATGTATCAATTATATGCATGTTGTCTGTTCGTGGAATGAGCTGCTTCAGGACAAATAATGCTTTACTTTTGTCTTTGTAACTTCAGCACCTAGCACATTGTCTGATATGCAGTAGAGGCTTTGATAAATGTTTGCTAATCAATTGATTGAGATAGGATATTAATCTTGCTTGTGATGCCATTGTTAATGAAGGAGTTAGGATCATAGATCTGTATCTAAAAGGAACTTCAAAAGCTATTGAGTCCAAATCATTCATTTTATGGTTAAAGGAACTAAGGCCCATGGCAGCTAAGTCATTTGCAAAAGCTACTCACTAAACAGATTTTTATTGTACTCATACTTCTACTGGCCTTTTTTAAAAGAGAGTAACTTGGTTATGTCCATGCCTAGTGGTGGACTGTATTTCTCTTATCTAAGGACCAGCAGCGCTACGTGCAGAGAGGTTTACCCCAGCTTTAAAGTCAGGATGATGATTTTTTTTTGGCTATGCAAGTTCTCATCTACTAAGTTATAAAAGGTTGCAAACTATATCAGAGGATAGAGGGCCCATACCAGTAAAATCATAGATCCCTAAAGAACTAACTTGCTGGGGATAAAAAAAAAACATACAAAAAAAAACCCCTGTCAATTATTTACTTTTTCTATTTGCAACAGCAACATATATATGTAGTTTTAACTGAAGAGAATTAGAAAATACCCAGTCACACCTATGATTTGCAATTATACAAATCTTCATTCATTAGGATATCAGTTGTCTATCTGTAGGGTTCAGAAGGGAATCTGTCTTTGAATCTTTGATGTTGCCTTGTGGCAGGGGTGGGGAACCTTCGTCCTCAAGGCCACATGTGGCCCTCTAGGTCCTCAAGTGAGCCCTTTAACTGAATCCAAATTTCACAGAACAAATCTTGTGCCCTGTTAAATGTGGATTCAATCAAAGGGCTGCACTTGAGGACCTAGAGGGACGCACATGGCCTCGAGGCCACGGGTTCCCCACTCTTGCCTTGTGGCATCACCACCGTTTCTGGAAGACAATAAAAAAAAAGCAACTAAGAATTAGATGCCCAGGTACTATGCTAATTGCTTTACAATTATTACCTCATTTGATCCTCACAACAACCCTAGGAAGTAGGTGTTGTCATTATTATCCCCATTTTACAGGTGAGGAAACTGAGGCAAACAGAAGTTAAGTGACTTGCCCAGGGTCATACAGCTAGTAAGTGTCTGAGGCTGCGTTTGAACTCAGGTTTTCCTGCTTCCAGGCCAAGCACTCTATCCACTATACCACCTTGCTGCCTTTTTCTGAAGTGCATGGAATTAGTCAGTGCTCAACCAGTGGTTCAATGAAGCCCAACCTCATTGTGGTCCAATGGAGGATGGAGAAATCCATCCTCAAAATAGTTCAGCCTGCAGCAGTCCAGTTGATGAATCCAATGAGCTTCCTCTATCTTACACACTAAGATTGAAAACAGAATCCCAGCTAGTGCTTCTGCACACTTTTCCTCCTCACCAAAGCTTTGCTTGGATAACTCACCCCGACAAACTTCCTAAGAAATTCCCGGGAGGCTTGGATATCTGTGTTAGACAGTTCAATGAAATCTCCCATCATCCCTTCTTCTGTCGCTGGAACTTCACTGTAGAAAAGCTTTGCTCTGGCATAGAACTGCATCTCACCATTGATGACTTGGCTTGTTAAAGCGTAGAGTTTCACTGCAAAGGGAAAATCACAAATGATCGTGCAATATGGGTCACATCTTGGGTCAGTTCTCTATTGATGTCTGTAATTCCCTAAGAAGACCCAGGATGTGGCTATGAAGTAACTATGACAAAGGACATTCAGTAGGAAATGAGTGAACGTCCCAAAGAAGGAGGAAAAGGAAACAGGTACTGTACCAACTCTGGAATCACAATGGAAGTGTGATTTTTTTTAACCTCTTACTTTTTTGGTTAATCTTGATTTCATTCTCAGAGGCTGAAATTGGAACTGCTGCAATTTCCTATTGTATTTTTAAAGCAAAAAACATAAAGGTGGCTTCTAAATAGATTGCTTTATTTGGCTGATGAAGACAGGGACTCCACATAATAATTTGGCAATTTAAATATAGAGGGGTGTATTACCAGCCCAATATATCAAACCAACTATTTACATAGGCTCAGCATTGTTTTTCACAATAATGCTCTTTCCAAGTCAAAGAAATCTAGAGATCAGATCACCTACTTGGAATATCAGGCATTATTGTTCACATTTTGAAAGTCTATAAAGACCAAATGATAGCAAAGCATAAACTCATAGAACTTAGAGATAAAAAAGGATATAAATATTATTAGTCCAATCCTCTAATTTTCCAGATGAGAAAACAAATTTAGAAAGGTGATAGGGTTTGTCTAAAGTCGCACCAGTCTTAAGTGACAGAGCTAAGGTTCAACCCAAGTCTTCTGACTCAAAATCTACTCTCTGATACACCATGCTGACCTTGTATACTATACATCCTGTACAATTTATATCTTAATCATCCAATTAGTAGATGTTTGTTGAGTACCTTATAGGTAACAAAGCATTTTGGGGACTTTTAGAAGACTAAAAATAGTGCCTGCCTTTAGAAAGCCTATGGTCAAACTGGGGGACTAAGGCAAACTATTTGAATACAGTCAAAAAACATTTATTAGACACTTCTTGTGTGCTACGTTTTGTACTCAGTGCTATAGGGATTCAAAAAGTTAACTAACGAGGCAATTTATTTATGACATTGGACATCACTTTATAGACTTGGGTTACCGCTACAGAGGCTTTTTTTACTTTCCTTTGGGAATGGGCTTGGTAAATGAGAGTACTTAAAGCCTCAGGCCTAGTGGTCCTAACAACCAGACTTCCCATAGGCGTAACTAAATGAGTTAAAGAGAATACGGCACATTTCCAATTCACCTATGCTTATCTGTGAAAATAAAACTCTATGTAAAAACAAACAAGCAGAAATAACAAAAATACTCACAACAGGATAAATGGCAAATGTAGAAACAGCAGCTCTTCCTAAACCTTACAGAGTTCTTTCACATGGCTCTTCTGCCTAATGGGGTTGAGACTTTGGCTTAAGTTCTCCCCAAGGCCAGATATTGGATCGCGTTGTCTCAAATCTGATTTTCCATGCTCACTTTTCTTCCATTTCAGTAAGATGACAGTGATGTCGAGTGACATCTTCATATTAACCTTTGGCTGAAGCAGAGATTATGTTCCTTCTGCTTAGAGTTCCTACAACTATGGGCAACAACACCAGTGTCTAGGATAGTAAGTGGTAAGTAGTATCATACTACTTATTCTAAGTTTGAGTTGCTTCATTCTTATTGACTACCTAAATGGCTCTGGGTTAAAGAATGGGACCTTAGAACTGGAAGAGACTGCAAAGATCATGTAACCGAATGCCTTTTCTCATTTTCTTTTCTTTATTCAGACCTATGATTTCATCAGTAAAGAAGTGGCCAACAAACTTCTTTGATCAGATACTCCTATCGGTAAAAAAAAAAAAATTGAGTATACATCCCTATATGTTTAGTTGTATTTTTAATACATATCCATGTATATGTATTAATAATGTACATGTATTAATAATTATAAAGAGTAATAATAGGTAAGGTTAAGTAATAGGTAATCATACTATCATTAGGCATTAATAATCCCAAATAATAAGTAATAATAGGTATTATTACCTAATAATAGTATAATATTATAGGTGATACACATAATGTTAGCTTATTATGGGCTACTAGGTAATAATATTATAAAAGTACATATAAGTAATTGAAAATGAAAGAGATAAATATGAAACACTTAATATTTTATTTATTAATACAAAATTCATTTTTGCTTTCATTTAAATATCATTGCTAATAATTTAGTAAGGGCAATGTGATTTAATATCCTTCATTATTTTGGACAATCTTGATTTAACACATTATGATACTGTAATTCTAAGATCTGATTCTAAGTTCGATTTCAATACTTGGCATTAATGAAATAACAATAACAGGTAGCATTTATATAGCTCTTTGAAGTTTTCAAAGGGCTTTACAAATATCTTCCCATTTTATTCTCACAAAAACCCTGGGAAGAAGGTGCATTTATTTTCCCTGTTTTATAGATAAGGAAAATGAGGACTACTGAAGGTAAATGATTTGCTCAGAATCACACAGATAGTAGGTACCTGAGGCATGATCTGGACTCAGGTCTTCATGACTCAACATCTAGAGCATTATCCACTTAGCCACCTAAATTAACTTTATTTCAATACTTGGGTTTAATGGTTGTCTGAAAAGGATAATTCACAAAGACATATATGTCCATGTCCAAGTGAAAGAAGAGTATCATTGGCTACATTGAATCATGCTGCTCATTTTTCAGTCTCATCTACCAGTCATGCAGAGTTTTTACATGGAAATTTGACTAACAAATTCCTAGCTTCCTTTGAATGATTCCAATTGATTGTTCTTGCAAATAATCACAAGGTGCCATTATGGTTTCTGCTTTAAAAAAAAGTTTAAAAACCACTGAAACTCTTAATTTGGAAGGTTTTTAAAATAGGCTAGACACTTCTAGGGCTATATCCCAAAGAGATCAACAAATGGGAAAAGCAGCCATGTGTACAAAAATATACATAGCAGCTTTTTTTGTGGTGGCAAAGAATTGGAAATTGAGAGGATGCCCATCAACTGGGGAATGGCTGAGCAAGTTGTGGTATATGAATGTAATGGAATGCTATTGTGCTGTAAGAAATGATGAACAGGCTGACTTCAGAAAAACCTGAAAAGACTTGTCTGGTCTGATGTTGAGTGAAGTGAGCAGAATCAAGAGAACGTTGTACACAATAACAGCCACGTTGTGCGATGATTCATATTGATAAACTTAACCCTTCCCAGCAATACAAGGATCTAAGACATCTCCAAAGGCCTCATGGTGGAAAATGCTATCCACATCCAAAGAAAGAACTATAGAATTTAAATGCAGATCAAAGCATACTATTTGCTTTTTTTTTCTCTTCCGTTGAGTTTTGTTCATCTTTCTGGTGGTTCCTCCTATTGGTTCTAATTTTTGCTTACCACAACACTAATCTGAAAATATGTTTAATAAGAATTTATATACATAGCCTATATCAGATCGTGCATCATCTTGGGGAGGGTGGTGGGGAGGAAAGGGGAGAAAAATTTTAAACTCAAAAGCTTATGAAAGTGATTGTTGATAAATCAAAATAATTTTTAAAATAAAATAAAATAGGCTAGAAAATAGTTCCCAAGTTTTTAAAGTGTGTAGACATGACATAACAGTTTTTACATGGCATCTTTTCATTGTTTTCACCAATTCAGAATGGAGAAAACATCTATCAAGAATAAGTGATGAGCAATTTCAAATGATAAAGAGAGGTCAAGAATGATGAGGATAGAGAAAAGGCCATCAGATTTGACAAATCATTAGTAACTTTGGAGAGAGCAATTTGTTTTGGATGAGGAACCAAGGATAAAAAAGAAGCTGATAATCTGGAATACTGGAAGAGTAGTGGTACCCTTGAAGAAAATAGATATCCTCTGGAGAGAAGTATATTGGAGAGGAAAAGGTGACAGAATGAGATCTGCAGTGCAGACTGTATCTCTTCCACACTTGCACATTCAATGCTACTCACTCCTTCCCACCAAAGAATGGAAAATGTAAGGGGGAAGAGAGTAGGAAAAGCTGAAGGCACCTGTGATAGCCATGAAAAAATCTGATTGGCAGGGTTGGGGGATGCTGAAGGAAGAGGAAGGAAAAGAATGTTGCCTGTCTAGTAGTAATACTTAGATTATTACCACTCCAATTGAAAGTGATAGAGTAGAGGAGTATTGCACTTTCATTTTAATGATTGTCATAGCCCAAAAAGATATTTCAAGAAGACACATAGATCTTAATGTAAGAAGGGAGTACATCATTGAAGAGGGTCCTAAAGTTGCTAGGAACCCATTTGCCCATCCTTTTATTGATTGATCACACATCCTTTGTGTTCATGCTACAATCCTCTTGGAGTCATGCCATACCATTATTCCCCACCATGACACCACTTTGGGTACCACTTTCCCAGAAACGAAACTTCTTCAACCAACACAAATTGGCAACTGCTTTGCAATTTGTAGTCTCAGGCAGCTGAGAAGTGACTTGCCCATTTCTATACCCCCAGTTTGTGGGACTTGAACCAAGTTGTTCTTAATTCCAAAGCCAGTTCTCCATCCACCATGCCATACTGCCTTCATATTATAAGAAATTTCATCTAATCGTTGGACCTTTATTTCCTGAAAGAGGCCCAGAGAGGGGAAATGATTTATCTAAGGTCACATGGCTAGTTAATGACTGAGTTAGAACTAGGTCTGTGGTCTCCTTAATCCCATTCAATGCTCTTTCCACAATAAACACACACGACCTCCCCCTTGGAATTCAGTATTGGTTTGACCTTTCCTATAGAGTCCTGCCAGTGACAGATTCTTGAGATCTAATCAAATAAAGCTGAGATGTCAGAAACTAGTCATGGCAGAAAGGCAAACCCTGGAGAGATCCTTTGTAAGTTATCTGATAATAATATTATTTACTGTACATGGCTCCTTTCCCCCAAACAGCTCCAAGCTCAGTGGGGATCTGATCTCACTAATCCTTCCCACATCCCTGTGAGTTGGGGTGTGAGGCCAAAAACAGCCACTTA